ACAGGTTAATATGATGAAGCAACAATGTAGAAGCTGACAGGAGGCAAAAAAATACTTGAATGCAAAGAAAACGATTCTTCAACGACCCTTTATTCTAACTTGCTATCGATTTATACATTCCATCTTATGCAATCTGCATAATAGACGTTAAAAGGTTTACTGAAATTTTAAAGCACCTAATTTTGGCAGTGATGCCTATCCTATCCTCTCTTATCCTGTCCCCGTTTCATTATCATTGTTAGGAACTATGCGGAGTCACTTTCATTTTCTGGGAAATGAATTTTAACTCATGTATGCAGAGCGCAAAGCGCGGAAACGAATCGCCTTCCTCATGGCGCTGGCAAATGCCAGTTGTTCAGTTCAGAAACGTTGTTTTTCTCTTTGTTGCTTAATCCATTTTACTTTTACCATTACCCAACTTTTCAGGATTAACGGACATGATTACCGCCTTCTGCAACGTCAAGGAAACATGGACCGGTAACGTGGCTCGTTTGAGGGACAACCAGAGACGTCAAGAATTGCTGGATCAAGCTTCACCATGAATACTCATCGATCATCTAAGAACTCGCCAGAATAACTCGATATTCAAATTAGTTTGCCAGCGATGGAGGCAGAAAACGGACAGCAGGGTATACAGGAGAAACTTGTGTCCATGGCGATCCCACAGCGGGGACAAATCGGATAACCGAAAACTGCCTGATGTACCGGTTCGACTGTACAAACAGCTGAGCCATTGAAAAGCTGCATGGGCGCGTTATTACTCAATGTTTGCAGACCAGTTTTATCGTGCAGACGGCCACCAGGCGCGATATGTGCAAAAGTGCAAGTAATTTTAGCACTGGTTCAGTTCGTGTGAATATTGCTCATCTTCAAACATGCCGCATGCATACTAATAGATTTTTGTGCCATTAACTTCGTACGGTTACCAACCGTTTCACTTTTTTAAAGTTATTCAAATGATGCTTCAGAACCACTTGAAATTAGGTCGATTCATCAAAATGGTATTGAAAGAGTCTATGATTTATCAGTTATGTGAAAAACATCGATCGTGGTACTAACACTTTAAGACGTAGGAAGCACAGAGCCATGCAATCAGTTTTGAATTCGTTCAAGTAGCAGCGATTAATGTGAATAACTTGAACTAAATCGTTTTTCCAAAGTTTTTACTGGCCCTTTACGGGGATATCAAAAAGTTAATGATTTCAACTTAACTCATCGAAACTCGCCTAAATATTGGGTTGTCTGCATCCACGGTTTCAGATCAATAGTCTTTCATTGTCTAACCATTGTGATCGAGATCTTCGTAAAGAATAATATTGGATGAAATAGAAATTTCACACAGATATTGCCCAAATTATTTAGATCAAAAGATTTTATTCTATTTCGAACGAAAAGAAAGGTAAGTTTATGATCTCTTGGATATCGGTCTTTATGAAATCATGCCTGCTGCGGCTTTCCTCTTTCCATGAAGTTTAGGGTGCAACGATAATCTCAGTTTCATCGCCGTCACCCAGATATGCCTCATCTTTTAAAGCCACAATCTACAGTAATGTGGCAAATGGGTAGTCTCATGATTCTTACTAGAAGAGACTCTCATTTACTAACCTCGGTAAAACGAGCAGCGAGTGACCGAACCGGAGCTCGAACTTGTGACTTCTCGGTTCCAAGTCTAATGCTTTGCTAACTGAACAATCCCGGACTTACTTGATTAGGACACTTTAGCAGATAGAATATTTTCTATGCATGGAAAATATTGGTTTGTCTACGTAAAAGATACTAATCATAATTTTATATTTTTTGTGAAACCATATAAGACTCTTCATGCATCATTGGTGGCGTGCATGGTACTGCGCCACTAGTATGATTTGTCTCAACATTATAGATATTTAAATGTTATCAAGCTGTAGCTTGTCTGTGATTTCAAAAATATCTCTTAGTCCGGGCAAACACCGGCAACTTTAGAATGCCAAATGTGAGTAAACTCTAAGTGCCCATTTCAATGGTTTTTGGTACAAGAAAAAGGGTGGCGCTGCGAAACTTTTATTACAGAGTTGTCAACGTTGACAGAAAGCCTGCAATGAATATTATGGCATATAAAGAGATTCACGCAACTTCAAGCAGCAAAATGGAGAGGAACAAAGATAAACCTTGAGCGAGCCACGGGCACCTCTAGCCACAAACCAATTCCTGGTAGACGCCCAAGAACATTCCTCTTCCGGGTGAAAAAGGATGGGGGTTGAGGACCGTGGCAAGGTGAAACTCAGCCATCTGCCCTCATGGTATTGCCGCAATCGAACGTAATTCTGGCTTTGTCATTGTCCAGATTGCCAAGGGCCTGCCGGTCGTTGAGGAACTATGGCAGACTGTGAAAAAGCGACGATCCGAGACTGCTGCTCGCTCTGGACGCGTAGCAGCACGACGATGGCTCTCGAAGCTCGACATGAAGACGACGAAGAAATTAGTCAGATTCCAAACGGAGGAGGCAGACAGCGCGATGCCATTAAAACACGTCAGGTCAGATTCCAAGGGAACGATATCGAGAGTTGGAGTTCAGAGTAAAAAATTGGAACATTTCACTCAGAGGGAAAGAGCAGCCAGCGGCTAGTTGATAGGCTCTAAGGTACCGACCGAATGGACACAGTTGCATTCGCGTCATCAACGAAGCTATGCTGGTGGAACCTACTCTACTCAGGGTCGACATCATTACACAAGCTCAGGCCTACGTGCTGTTCCGGTTCCGGTATAACCAATCTGGCGGAGAGAACCATGGAATCATTCAGGCCGAGAACATGAAACCTCCCTGGAGGACGTCAAAGATACCCTGTACGACTGCCCAATTCACTATTCCAATGGACGATTGTAAAGTGAATGTCTGAGCGGACATTGAAAAGCGGAAAGGGTGCGATTGATGAAGCGGCCCTTGCGACCTCAACAAAGGTTTTGTACAAACAATAGATTATAGGTTATGAACCCGTTCTTCGAACATAAAAGCGGAAATTGGCATATCAGGCATATTGAAACTTTCGCGAGGAAGTCGAGGATCAATTTGATTACTGACGACTCGGTAATGAATGTTCGCCTTAAGGGAGGCGCAGACCTGTCCACCGATCATCACTTTGCTCTTGGCACCCTCCGCTGTGAACGATGGAGTGCTGTGGGAAGGCATTCCGGTTAAAACGATGGACAGTCGAATATGAAACACTGTCCTCTGTGGATACGAAGGCAAGATTGGCAAACAATATCGGGACCCAGTGATTACCGCTGATGTATAAACCGAGTGAATGCCCTTTAAGAGTGGCTTACCTGTGGCTGCCGCAGAAAGTTGTGGTTTAAAATTGTGGCTTTCGCCTGGATGGTAGAAAAGAACTTCCAGATGAGCAAGAGAGATTCACGTAGCTGTTATCGAGAGAAAAGTTACATGCAAGAGATGGCATGGAAGCAAAAACCTTGAACGGAAATGCATTACGAAGAAACGCTCAAGGCGGCAGCGAAAGCAGTGGTCAAAGCGAAAGCTAATTCTTCGAAAAAGTTCGGTGAGTGCTACAGTCGAATTGACAGACGGCAAATAGGTATTTTTGCAAATAATCCGCCACACTTGACGTGGAAAGAAGGGCAGTCTAAGAGTCCTGAAGGACATGTCCGGAATTACCAGTATTACCCAGTCTTACCAGAATGACGGCACACCCTGGCGATGGCAGGAGTACTTTGAAGAACTCCTTAACCCTGAACAACGAGGGGAAAACTTGCCTGAAATACAGGAGGTAGTGTATATTCGTCTTTCAGCAGACGAAGATACAGAACTTGCAAAAGGCTTGAAGACTGGCAAGGTTGATGAAATTGATTAAATCTGGCCTGAAGTGCTTGAGGCTTTAAGCGAACAATGCATATCGTGGCTAACACATATCTACGAAACGGCAA